TATATTATATATATATATATATATGTATGTATATATATATATATATATATATATATATAAGAAATTCAAATTTATTTAGCTTTTTTTTTTTGGTATATAAAGAAATATAAGCATACTATATCTATATAAATATTATGTAAATACAACAAGTAAATACGATACATTACGCAAAATTTATGAACATTATTTACATTAAAGTTTACGTAATTTATTAGTTTTGTTTTATTATATAGAAACATTTACAAAATTTCCAAATCGCAATGTCGAATCTCCGGATGTTTTTTCTAAAAATAAGAAAAAAAATATTAAAGAATAACAATAAATCATATATCAAGAAATTAAAAATTGACATATAAAATTTTCTTAAGATACCTTCAAATTCAGTTCCATTCTATCTATTTCTCCACCAAGCATATCTACAATAGCTTCTCCATGTTTTAACATAAACGCTTCCAATTCTTTTATATCTGTCATGCCTGTTACTTCCTAAAGAATAGAATAAAATTTTAAAATTAATATAATTTTTCTTGGATGTAAAATTATTACCTTTAACATTACAACGAGATCATGTTTCTCTAAATAAGATCTTGTTAATTCTCTTCCATCAAAGTCTAATTCAGCCTTGTATCGAACTAAATTATTACCCATATCGATACCCTTAACATCATAAATTGCTCGAACCTGATAAATAATTAATTTAAATAAAAATATTCAAAATTATAATTAATAAAATAAAAAAGATAAAAATATTACCATTATATCCGATTCCAATTCCGCGTTAATCTTGTCAAGATCTTCTTGAGATATACTTCTTCCAATTAAAGCAGCAGCATTTGTATGTATTATAAATCCAGCTACTGCACCAAGTAGACCACCAACCAAAAGAGATCCAATTGCATCAAACATTGGATTTTCTAAAAGAGAAGTTAAACCCATGCAGGCAGCTGCGCATACAAGACCAATCACCTATAAAATTTAAAAGAATATTTTATGTTCAATTATATTTGATTCTTTTTTTTTTTTTTATTCTAATAAATACTTGCCGCTGCTAAATCTTCCGTGAGTACAACATTCACGGATGGATCTTGTCCTGCTAATACATATTCTTTAAATGTTTGTCGTTTTTCTTCCGCTCCTCTTTTTATTGATTGTATTGCTACTAATAAAGTTGCTCCTTCTGATACTAAAGAACCAAATATTATAAAATATGCCCAATAAAAAGATTCTATTGTCGAAGGATAAAGAAGGCCATGAATTCCATGATAAATCGATAGACCAGTTCCAACACAAAAGATACCAACACCAGATATTAAAGAAGATACATATCTCATATTTGTATAACCATACGGATGATCAGGGTTAGGAGTCTGAAATATTTCAAACGAATATAATTATTTATATATATATATAAAAAATATATATATATATATATATATATATATATATACATATTCTATATGACATAATATAC